ATTTCAAGGAAATGTTCATCACCAATTAAAAAACAAAGCCGGCCGATTGTGAAATTTGCACAATATCACTCAGTGCAAATAATACTATGGGAAATTAGAAAAGACGGACTTACTCATACAGACAAATAAAATATCATTCAATTTTCTATACGTATGAAGCTTTCAGTAATGTGAGACAAACTTTTTTCTCATAAATTTGATCCACAACATCTGACTGTTGAACAGAAAATGTGCATTCAATTAAGCACCCAAGCTGAGAGCCTTATCATTAACGTTCCGTCAAACTACTGCAATTATCACATAAACTCGCAAATACCTCTATACTTTTCTACCCCTACTCCACTATACTCTACTAATATAATAGGCATCGATAAAAATTATTTTATAAGATGTTTCTTGAATTTTAACTTTTGAGCATGATACTTCTTCGCACGACCATCGAATCTTATATGTAAAAGGAAACTTGAGGTATTATAAGAAAAAACCGCTATATCTCAGCTATACACACAAACTTGTTGTATCTAGTATTATGAACTCATCTCTATAATCAAAATCCTACAACTTTGCGAGCACAAAAGCATCTTGGACATATGGAGAGCTCCACACTCTGTCTGTCCCATCCGTTTGTATAACTCTGGCTGTTCCAAAGCTATTATAACGCTTGGAGGTAATAGAACTCGGCGTTATGGAAAGTTGCTTCGTCTATGATGCTGAGAATTTCCTTCTTAAACTGTAATTGAGAGCAGAAAAAACTGGTCTGCTGCAATTTAGATTAGCCTAAGGGCTTGATTAAACGTTTAATAACTCTAATCATTTGTTGTGCTATAGTTTTAAATGGTTTTTTATTGATTTAGCTACAACGCATTAAAAATGGGCTTTAAACCACAAGCAGCCCATTCAAGCCAGGAGCGGCGTTTGGAAAATCATCAAAGAAAATGTCATTGAAGGAAGATCCACTGTAGCGAGTGCGTGGGATGTATAGCTCCATCAAATAGTTGACCACGCTACGACCGCGTGGGTCGAGTGTTGAGCATAGGTCCCTCACTGCATTTCTCTCCTCCTTGCAAGTATAATCCTGTAAAATAGCAAGAATAAAAATAGCCAAAACAGTTGACA